CGCTAGGGGCTGGGCCGGGAACTCGGCGGTGGGCTGGGGCTTGGGCCCGCCTGGGCTCGGGTCTGGGGGCTAAGGCCTGGGTCTGGGCCCACCTGGGCCTGGGAGCAGGCCCTGGCTGTTGGGCTCAGGGAGAGGCCCCCGGGCATCTCTGGGGAGGGAGGGCACAGGGGTCTTTGCACCCCCGTCTCCCCTGTGCCAGTGGATTTTGCCAGCGGCCCGCTTGGGGCATGGTAGAAGGGAGCCAGCGTTGAGATACCCCAGTTCGCACCCCTCCCTGGGGACTGGCACCACAGGCTGCCCCTCAGAATCATGTGGGACCCCTGGGCTTCTGGGTTCTCCCTTGTTTAAAGGATTTCCTTCCATTTCAGAATGAGAGGCCCTCCTGCCTGGCACCAAGCCAGTGCCTGGTGGCAATGAGTGCAGAAGTGGCTGTGTCTGAAGCTGCCAGTGGGGAGATGGAGGCCCTGTGCTCGGAGCTGCTCCTGCCCGCGCCAGGAGAGGCAGGAGCCATGGGAAGCCCTGGTGCAGCCAGCACCAGCCTGGCTGGGACGCCGCCCCTGACTGCCAGCCGGGACTTGCTGCTGGCGGAGGCATCGGTGCCTGGGGAAGGGACTCAAGCTGAAGGAAGCAATGTGGAAATATTCATCGAAGCCGTGGCTGGCAACGTCACACTGAGCAACGCAGCCAATGCCACAGGTACAGTGCATGAGGAGGGCAGCGTGGGCCCCTTGGTGCTCAGCAGAGGGAGAGAGGTCCAGCTGGGGGTCCTGTACCCTCTAACTGGCACCCTGGGGACACCATGGTGCCCTCATGTCTCTGTCCCCATGTGTGTCATGAGTCCAGTGCCACCATTCAGCGCAGACCAGACAGGAGCTGGGTGTGCAGATGGGGAGGGGCAGCTGTGTGAGCTTCAGACTGGGTGAGGGGTTCACTCTGGGCTTTCAGTAGGGATGAGGCAGAGATCTCTGCCTCAGAGACTGCTGCCACCCCCAGTATTCTTCTAACCTGGGTCCAGTGTAGGGACATCCTGCTGGAAACAGCGTGGAGCTGGCCTCACATTGCTGGGTGCCTTGAAGGTGCAAAGGGACAGACCTGGTCATTGTGGTCACCTGGGTGATGGTGTCCCCGTCTCTGATGGGAGCATGCATCCTGGGATACCCCAGGCAGGGGGAGGGCTGCGGTTCTCCAAACTAATTTGTGGCAACAGGGGTTTATCCTTCTTGTCTGGAGCTGGAACTGAACAGCTAGCCCCAAGCCCTGGGCCTGGTGAAAGCCCTTTCTAACTCTCACCCCTCGCTCCCTACAGAGGTGCTGGTCAAAGTGGTGGAGCTGTATTTCTGTGAGAGGTGCGGCCAGAGCTTCCCAGAGGCCTCCCTGCTCTCCCAGCACCAGTGCCTGCTGCTGCAACCTCCTGGGCGCCTGGAGCTCCCTGGGGCACTGTCAGCTTCTGCCAGCGAGGACCAGAGCAAGCCAGAGGGCTCGGAGCCACCCAGAGCCAGTGTGCAGGAGGGCTCTGCTCCCGAGCGCCTGCTGTGCCCCGTCTGCCAGGAGGCATTCATGCAGCCCGGTGAACTCAAGGAACACTTCAAGACCCACCGCACCCCACCAGGAGCCCTGCCCTGCCCTGAGAAGGGCTGCTGCTTCGCCACGGAGGACCGCAAGCAACTGCGTGGCCACCTGCGACGCCTGCACAGGGCCTCCCCTGTGTCCTGTGCGTACCGTGCCTGTCCCCTGCTCTTCCCCAGCCGCCTGGCCATGGAGCAGCACCACCGCACCCACTTCCCCTTCCACTGTGGCCGCTGCGACTTTGTCACAGCCAATGCCAAACTCTTCTGGCAGCACAGGAAGGGCCACACAGCAGAGACGCCCGTGACAGGCGGCCCCCCTGGCTCAGCCCCCCATGGCCTCGAGCAGCACTGCGTCCTGCCATCAGGTATGGCTGGGTGGGGGGATCCGGGCCTGGGGGTGCTGCAGAGGCTCGCTGTGTCACAGTTACAACTGGGAGGAGGGGGGGGACGAGGCTGTGTTGCTGGAGAGCCAGAGTGCCCTGCAGCCCGGTGGCTCTCTGCAGCTTTCCTTCCTCCCTGCGGCACAGTTTGTGCCCCCTCTCAGCCAAGGTGTTTTTTTGCACATGTGTGGGTGAGGCGGGGTGCGTCCTTCTCATCTGGAGCGTGATGATCTCTGTCTTTCCCCACTGAAGCAGCAGAAGGGCAGGAGGAGGTGGGGAACTGCCACCCTGGCTGGGAAGCTGCCGCAGCAGAAGCCGGGCCAGCAAAGCCCACAGGCACTGGGGAGGGCTCTCTGGAGGAGCGGAAAGTGTCAGCTGGAGAAGAGGAGTTGGACAGCGGCGGGGATGAGTCACTGGAGGAGGATGGTGAGAGCCCCTGTGAAGGCGAGGCCAAAGAGGACGGGAAGGCAGCTCCTGAGAAAGCCAGAGTGCCACGGGCACAGCACTTCAAAGGTAGGATGTGGGGCACCACGGGGCCATATCAGGAGCTGCTCGGGCTTTGTATTATGGACAAGCAGTGTGGCCCTGAGACTGGCGAGGAAACATGGGCTGGGCTGGTGGGACGTGGGGGTCCCGTGTTGTCCAGCAGTCTTGTGTCTCCTGTGTGTATCAGTGCACTCTTGCCCCCTCCTCCTCCCAAGCAAACACATCCCTTCTGTTGCCCATCCTCAGCTATTGCCAGGCTCAGGCAAAAGCAGGCAAAATTCTGCCTGGCTTTGGGGAGTGGGGGCATGCAGACAGGCCTGATTCAGGCCACGCTGCATCATCTTTGCCAGTGCTGAGCTGGAAAGAGCCCACCTGAACCCTGCTGGTGGCTTGGGGTGGGGACAGTCCCTCCAAGTAAATGGCTGCTGTGTGACCACATATATGATAAGCCTGCACCCCAGCACAGCTCAATCAGGGAGAGACTGTCTGCCTGTGCTCTCCTCTGTCTCTTCCCTGCTGACAGCTCCCCCTCCTCTGCTCTCACAGGGGATGTCGCAGAGGGCTCCGAGTACCTCTACAAAACCCACATGTGCCCTGAATGCAAGCGATGCTTCAAGAAGCGGACGCATCTGGTGGAGCACCTCCACTTGCACTTCCCCGACCCCAGCCTGCAGTGCCCCAACTGCCACAAGTACTTCACCAGCAAAAGCAAGCTGAAAATCCACATGATGCGGGAGACGGGCGAGAAGGCCCACCGCTGCCCGCTCTGCCACTACAGCTCGGTGGAAAAGAATGCCCTCAACCGCCACATGGCCAGCATGCACGAGGACATCTCCAACTTCTACTCTGATGTTTACTCCTGCCCTGTCTGTGAGGAGAAGTTTCGGCTGAGCCAGGCCCTCAAAGAGCACTTGAAGACTCACAAAGCTGAGCCCAAGAGGCTGAGCTGCTTCCAGGGGGGCTGCAACTACTGTGCAGAGGACCGGAAGGAGTTTGTCCGTCACCTCAAGGATGCTCATGGCATCAAGGCAGTGGAGTGCAAGTACCATGCTTGCTCGCTGCTCTTTGGAACAGCCGAGGCCATGGAGGCTCACCGAAAAACCCACTATGCCTTCCACTGCCAGCAGTGTGACTTCATCTGCTCCAACAAGCACGTTTTCCGCAAGCACAAGAAGCAGGGGCACCCGGGCAGTGAGCAGCTCCAGTGCAGCTTCTGCCCCTACGCCACTTTCAACCCTGTGGAGTTTCACGACCACGTGGGCAAGATGCATGCCAATGAGAAGATCCACAAGTGCACCGAATGCGCCTTTGCCACTGCGCACAAGAGGGTGCTCATCCGGCACATGCTGCTGCACACCGGTGGGTGTCTGCTGTGGGGGTCCGGAGAGCCAGATGGGGATGGGGGGGTGGGGGGGTGCTCCTGGGTCTCATCACTGCCACCCTGGCATTGCTTGGCTGAAGTCATGGCATGCCCTCATCCCTGCTGTTACCCCCAGCTCCTGCTGAGCTGGTTTCCCCACAGCGGAAGGCAGCCCATGGCTGTCATGCTGAGGATGTTCCTGTGTTGCCTGCAGGAGAGAAACCTCACAAGTGTGAGCTCTGCGACTTCACGTGCCGGGATGTGAGCTACCTGTCCAAGCACATGCTGACGCACTCCAACGACAAGAACTTCATGTGCACTGAGTGCGGGTACATCACCAAATGGAAGCACTACCTGAACGTCCACATGCGCAAGCACACTGGAGATCTCCGGTACAGCTCCCGGCCCCACTGACCTGGCAGCATAGTCAGGGCTCCCCAAATCCTGCTCTGCATGTCTTGCTGCTCTGGGCTCTGTCATGTGCCAGACTCTCACGTGGCTGCAGCCTGCTCTGTCTTGCACATAAGAAATACGGTCTTTGAGCCAGTGTGGTGCTGTGGAGGCAAAGCTATCTGTGGTGTCTCCGTGCCGCTAGGGAGGTGTATTACTGCATCAGTGCAGCTCTGAGCTTGGGTTCATGGGCTCTACCGATGTTCATGGGCCAACGCCAGCTTGAACATGTGCAGGACGCTGCCAAAACATGTTTTTACCTCTGTATTGTCACCTCCTTTGGGCCTAGCCTGCCTCCAGGGATGCTGGAGTTGCTGCTGGTGTTATGGGAAAGGGTGACACGGTCACTGTATGGGATACCCAAGGAATCTCCATCCCCAGGCTGGGGGTGTAAAGCACCAACAGTGCCAAGGGCTGCAGCAGGGGGGAATTGCTTGTGGTAAGAGCTGCCCAGATGGCAAAGGTCAGATCTGTCAAACTGAACAGTACCCATTCCCCCTGTGCCCAGGATAGGGAAGGAGAGCTCGGCGTGTCTGACAGGGCTCAGCCTGCCCCCAATCCTCACGCTTCCTGACCGATTCTGCTTTCCCCACAGGTACCAATGCAACCAGTGCTCGTACCGGTGCCACCGTGCCGACCAGCTGAGCAGCCACAAGCTGCGGCACCAGGGCAAAAGCCTGATCTGCGAAGTGTGCGGCTTTGCTTGCAAGCGCAAGTACGAGCTGCAGAAGCACATGCAGGCGAAGCACTCGCAGAACTACCAAGTGCCCATCTTCCACTGCCAGCACTGCACCTACCAGACCAAGTACAAAAGCTGAACCATGAGACCTGCAAGCACCCCAAGCAGAAGGAGTTTCGCTGTGCTCTCTGCTCCTACTGCACCTTCAGCAACACCAGCCTCTTCTTCCACAAGCGCAAGATTCATGGCTACGTCCCCGGTGACAAGGACTGGCTGGAAAACTACGCCAGCAAGGAGCTGGAGATCAGCTCGTCCGAGGCGCTCTTCGGCTACGAGCTCGGCACAGCCCTGCGTGTGGATGCCAGCTCCCCCCTCGCTGGCAAGGAGCAGTGGGCCAAGGCGAAGCCGTCCCAGCTGGAGTCACAGGAGGAAGAGGGCTACCAGCAAGCATTTGTGGTGCCCCTCCTTGGGCAGGGTGCTGCTCTGCCGGAGAGTGGCAGAGAGGTGGAGGGAGTTGTGGGTGAGAGAGAGCAGAGCCATCCCACTGCTGGCGATGCCCTGGGAGATGACTGCATCCAAGGAGATCCTGCCACAGGCTCAACTGAGCTCGCTGCTTCTGGGGACGTGGCGGAGAGCTGCACGTTGCACTTGGAGGCACTGAACGTCTCGTCTGACCCCCTCCTGGAGCATTTGGCTGGAGAAGCCTGTGCGGCGCAGCCAGAGAGCGTGGAAATGCTGTCTTGCAAGGAGCATCCTACAGCCTACGAGATGCTGGGGTCCCGGGATGACCTTGGCTTGGAGGACAATGACACTACGCTGGAAGACATCCCAGACTTTGAGGAAGAGGAGGCAGATGTACAGGAGGACGTGGCAGTGAGGCTGGAGGACAGGGTAGCAGCAAGAGACAGCCAGGGAAAAGACTCTGTAAGGCCGGCCACGGGCCACCTTAAGGAGTCGTGCTCAGACCACCACAAGCTGGTGGCAGACACTGAGATGAGAGAGACCAGCCAAGCCGAGCTGCCAGAGGCCTGGCTCAGCATGCTGAAGACAGCTGAGCAGAGCCACCCGCCTGTCCCAGAGGTCACAGCTGCCTCCAGTGACGATGCCAGAGGCGGCTCAGAATCAGTGCTGAAGGCACTGCGGAAGCAGGACAGGGAGGAGGTGGAGACACTGGTGCTGGAGGGCAGGGTGCAGATGCTGGTGGTGCAATCAGAGAGCCAGATCTTTAAGTGTGAGAAGTGCTCGTACATCACGCGGAAGGAGAAGTCCATGTCCCTGCACTCCAAGGCCAGCTGCCAGAGCCGCCGGGCCCCGCTCGTGTGCCGTGAGTGCGGTGCCAGCTTTAAGCAGCAAAGAGGGCTCAACACCCATCTCCTCAAAAAGTGCCCGGTCCTCCTGAAGAAGAACAAGATCCTCAAACCAGCTGGTCAGGAGCCACCTGGGTTGTGCCAACCTGCTGACCAGCCTGGTGATAACAGCACAGAAATGGCGGAGAGCGAGAGGGCAGGCTCGGAGGAGTCTGGACATGCCGAGAGCCCCTGGGAAGCTGAGCTGTTGCCTGATAAAATGCAGGCAGCAGGCAGTCCTTTGGCTGGGGAACGGGCCTTGGGCTGCCCTGTCCCTGAGAAATCCCTGCTGGCTGACAGCACAGAGGTGGCAGAAGAGCCTCCCCAGCAAGGGGATGGGGCTGGGCCAGATGGAGCTGCTTGTCCCCCCCAGCCTGGGAAACCCTCAGAGAAATACCGGCTGGAGGGGGGGAAGCTCCACTGCAATGCCTGCTCCTTCGTGTGCTCCCGTGTCTCCACCATCACTTCGCACGTGGAGGACGGGTGCCGGAACCTGGAGCAGTTCTGGTGCACCCTGTGCCCTGAGGCCTTCCGCTCCCGGCGGGCCCTCAGGAGTCACTGTGCCGAGAAGCACATTGTGCATCCTGAAGAGGCTGGACCCCAAAGCACTGAGCTCCCCAAAGGGGACCTGGACAACATTGAGACAGGCCAGCTCAGTGACCGCCCCCTGGATGCAGCCCCCCCGAAATCCATCCTGCCCAAGAGAAGGCGTTTCTCCTGCCCCACCTGCCCCTTCACCTGCCACCAGGAACGGGCCATGAAGACGCACAAGAAGAGGGGCTGCGTGGCACTGGGTGAGTTTCGCTGCGCCTCCTGCCCCTTCACCTCCAAGGTGGCCAAAGCCCTGCGGCTGCACCGCAAGCTGCACCGCAAGCACTACAGCAAGCGGCCGCAGCTGCAGTGCCGCCAGTGCGAGTTCACCTGCAAGCAGGCCCGCTGCCTGCGGCAGCACGTCCGCATCAAGCACGAGGGGGTGAAGCCTCACAAGTGCCGCTACTGCGAGTTCAGCACCACGCGGCGCTACCGCCTGGAGGCCCACCAGTCCCTGCACACGGGCGTGGGGCGCATCGCCTGCGGCATCTGCAGCCAGACCTTTGGCACCAACTCCAAGCTGCGCATCCACCGCCTGCGGGTGCACGAGAAGACACCCACCCACTTCTGCCCGCTCTGCGACTACAGCAGCTACCTGCAGAACGACATCACCCGCCACGTCAACAGCTGCCACCGCGGCGAGCTCAACTTCGGCTGCTCCCGCTGTGAGCCTCGCTTCAGCTCCGAGACAGCCCTCAAGCAGCACGTCCGGCGGCGGCACGAGGAGAAGGTGTCCTATGGCTGCCTGCGCTGCGGCTTTGTGTGCCACAGTGAGGCCACGCTCAAGTGCCATGTGCAGAAGCAGCACCCACACCTGGAGTGCAGCACCTGCAAGGAGACCTTCCCCACCCGGGAAGCACTGGAGGAGCACAAGACGCAGCATTTCAGCCACCGCTGTGAGCTGTGCAGCTTTGCAGCCAAGGAGCGGCAGG